TGACAGCCCCACCCAAGGCCTGATGGAAATTCAGTGGTGGTGCTCTCGGCGAGGCATGGCATGAAGCCCTACCAAGTCCAAGGGAAGGATTGTGAGTCGGTCTAGAGCGCACTTGCTTCAGCACTTTCAATCAAGTCCAGTGAATAATCTGGGGCTCTTCGGTGTCACCCTAGATTCACAGCTTACATTTGAATTGCAGATTAGGAATATGACCCGTGCAGTTTCATCGAAGCTAGGCATCATGCCTGATTTTGAGTATTGTTCTCCTGTGTGGTTATTGCTCGATTGTTCTTTTGATTCCGATAAATTTCTCCTGTCTGACTTAAATTTGGCCACTAGGCATCGTAGGGATGTTGGGGCTCTTCCAGCCTTACACAACATTGCACTTGATAATTGTCTACGAGTCTTTAATTGATTTTTATCAAGTTGCAAGTTACTAGTTCTATAACCCTCAATTCAATGACATTTGATGCAAGTCATTTACATCTCAATTTAACCCATTGCCGCCGGGGAAAATGAACAAAAAATGGGGAAAATGCTGGGCCTATTTTCTATAATTTTTTGTTAAATGTCTGCCCATAGATGGCTCTGTTAGCGCCTGATTTGAAATGGTGGGAAAAACGTATTTTTCACTAGTTCCATGAATACCGATGGTGTTATTTTGATCATAAACATTATGATTTTTATAATGTTTTTTAACATTACTAACAGCAAAATAAGATAACGTAAAATGTTTCGTAAATAAAAGAAAAGGGTGAACGGGCGAGTTGGCGGTACTCGTAACTGGCTCATTGGTGATTTAGTACAAGTGTAGCCATCTATGTGTGAAAACAATCTAACAAGTAAACTCACAGTGGGCATGGCATGGCATGCCCGGCGGGAATAGGTTAAGATGCCTTTTTACTGCTACTTGAAGGCTTTGGAATAGATTGCCTTCAGAGATTGTAGCTAATATGTTCTTACTACATAAATAGCTGATGGTTTTCTATCTCCTCTTCCTTTCTTAGTTGTGTGTTGACCTGCACAGACGCCGTTGGTAGTTTAACTTACCATGATAATATTCATATATATATATATATATATATATATATATATATATAAAGAGAGATAGAGAGAGAGAGAGAGAGAGAGAGAGAGAGAGAGAGAGAGAGAGAGAGAGAGAGAGAGAGAGAGAGAGAGAGATGTGTGTGTGTGTGTAGATAGACAGACATCTATATGATATATACAGATCGGTAGATAGATCGATGGACAAATATTGATAGATAAATGCATAGCTGATCTTTCCCCTAACCCTTTGTCGAGAGGCTGAACACCCGCCTTAGGGCTTGAGTTTCTGGTTCAGTTCCAGGGAGTGTCAACAGATGTGTGCAAACTCTCCTTATCATTATTCGTGTCTGGAGTAGCTACGATCCTCGCTGCGCACTCCTTTCTGTGGCCGGTTTAGTGCTAGTCATTCCGGGTCATACCTTGAGCGGCAGATTCGAGTCCTGGTCAGGGAGCGTCGTTATTTAGGAACATCGCTGCCTTGTTGCATTATTACATCTTTCAAAGATACTCCTGTACATACAACCTTCGATTCGCCGGAATTCCTGGACAAAAGGGGAAACTGGCAACAGACTGCGACCAGATTATCAGGACTCCTTCGCGAGCACCTCAGCGTGACTCCGGAGTTCGAGAGAGTCCGCCGAGTAGGGAAGTGTTCAGAGAACCAACCAAGGGCGCGGAAGCTAAATTCCAAAGTTTATGTGATCGAGAATCCTTGAAGGATGCCAATATCCCGGAGACTGTGTTCGGAGCTTTTAAACTAGCACGGGCGCGGCGAGGAGAGGCCAGCTTCTCATCACTTTAAATCACCCGAGAATCATCACCAAAATTCTATTCAGGTCAAAAAGTCTACTTGTATAGACCTTGCGATCGCCTGAGTAACAACGCCGACCTACTCCCTTCCGTCTCTCCACTCCCCAGGATAAGACAAGGAAGGCAATCACAGTTTCAAAGGCTGGCGATGTGTTTCCGCGTGTGAGTAAGCATTTTATCTTTTATCGGGCATACCGGATGGCGCTCCCAAAAGTACTTTTCTTGGTTCACAAAGCGCCCCCCCTTTTTCCATTGACCGGAATCATCACAGGGTGAGAACTAAAGGATTCTTTCATTCCATTGTCAACGGAATAGTAGTGACAACAGTATTGATGATGATAATGCTACGGTTAATATGGCGACTGTCACTACTATTGCTACTGCTACTACTGATGTCAGTAATAATAATAATTACAATAATAATCATGATAATGATTATTATTGTTGTTGATATGTTTTAGTATTAGGGTTTTTTAGTAGTATCATTATTATTTTTATCATTATTACTATCATTATCATTATTACTATTGTTATTATCATCACCATCACTATTAGCATCATTCGCATTACCATTATTGTCATTATTATTATTGTCAGTAGTAATGCCGTTGTTAGTATTGTGAGGTGTTCTTTCGCTCTGTGGCTATTGATATATATTTTAAATGTGGGTTCACAGTGTCTAGATGTGTTGTGGTAGCGTGAAACATCTAGACACAAACAAGCAAACAAAAAGAAAAAAAAAAAGAGACCGAGCATAATCATCGACTCCTTAACGTTCAGCCTTTTTAAAGAAACTAGAAATTATTTAGTGTTTACGTATGGGAAAGGCAAGTGCAAGTGCATCTCGAGAATATTAATTAAATAAATTAAGTAATTATGATTAACTGATTAAAAGAAATATGAAACAAGTAATAAAAACAAAGGATCACGTCCAGCTCCTCAAAAAATAAAAACAACGTCAGTACACAGACTTAACTCTTCTCGGTTTCGGGGGGCGTGGCCGCTTCACAGCTTTCCCGCTCACACAGGGGTAATGACACACAGGGGTATCTGGTCTCAACTGAATGTATTTCGCGCCGTTTTTGGCGTTATTTATAGTATTCGTGACGTCATGAAATACGTCACGAACTATACATCTTTCACATTTATAAAAGTGTAAATTTTACCTTACAGAATAAAACACATGTATTTACAGGGTAAAAAGAAAAGAATAAAAAATAGCCACAAGTTAAAATGAAACTAAAAACACCGAATAAAAAGATTAAAGCTAAAAGATGACGGGTATAAAATACTCGTCAGATTCGATGTAATGTAAACGAAATAAAATAATAATTAATCCAAAATACACAGAAAATCAAGTAAAAACTGTCTTTCGTGCCTCAAGAAATAAATAAATGCAAAGACTGTAAAATCGAGCGAAAAGAAAAAAAGAAGAAAAGAAAACGGCTATAAAAAGGGCAACTTCACTAAAACACACAAAAAAATAGACCAAAATAAAAGGCCAAATGAAAAGGAGCGAGCAAGCGGGATCCGGGCGCAGCCGAACGACGGGAAACGAGTGGCGAGGGGATGCTCTCGATAGCCCGAGATGAGGACTGGGGTGTCACCTTACAGTATCATCGCCATCATCA